AGTCGCTATGCACGTTGGATCAGATCAACTGCTTGTCGCTACGGAATGCCCGGTGGCCTTTGCCTAATCTTACTAACAACACAACAACAGTATACCGAATCCGGCTCGGGTGGCTCTGGTGCTTGTGCATCGCATCGTTGGCAAATTAGCAATTTACCCAAGGTGCAGACGGGATGAGCCTCCACTCATCGCTGGTCCTCGTCCTCGTCCGTGGTTCAACTGAAACAAAGCCATTATTATCGCTAGGGTTGAAATTCAATATGACTGGACATTCTTAGTATTGACTTGTGTCAAACCAAGTGCCACTGTCGGGATCTACCGTTGATCAATATCCCCAAACATAGCTATCTACTCGTCAATGACACCATGGTGGATATGTTAAGGTTCAAATGTTGTGCGGTTGACCCTCGTTGGCTACTTGCTTATTCGCCAGTTCGTCAAGCTGCTCAGCCTTACGCCACTCTCCAAGCCTCATCGACCCAGGGCCTGATCAAACTCAACGGGCATTTTTGGAACATGGCCTCGTATCGCGTCGAACACCGTTGCGCGAAATACAGTACCACCGTTGCTATCAGAGCTTCGCTTTGCCGTCTGGTAGCTTCACTAGCGCTCCATCGCGCCTGACATCATAATCGCGGCCTTTCTTCCACCCCAGCCATGTTTTGAGTGTCTCTTCGCCCCCAGTGCCAGGTATCAGGCCACCCCCGGTCCAGCCTCCATCGTCGGCCGGAATCGGGAGCCCGGGAGTTTCCACTAGATGGACGACGGGCCGTTGCTCATAGCCACTTTCCTCGAGCTCATCTTGTTCCAACACAGGTGTGGCGCAGGCATCTGTACCATCGAATACGGCCTCCCACTCCGCCCGAGTCTTTTCTTTGAACCGCTTAGCGAAGGCAGCCCGCAGCGCAGGCCAGTTGTCCTTGTTATCCCGCGGCGGAAGCTCTTCGGGGTTCAATTCGAGCCCCTTCAACAGAGCATCGTAAAACTGCGGCTCCAACGCACCCACTGCGAAATACTTTCCCTTGTCCTTGGTTTCGTATGTGTCGTAAAACGGGCTGCCTCCGTCCAGCGTATTCTGACCGCGAGGCGCATCCCAGAAGGGCGTTTGTCTGCCCAACCGTGGCATTGCAGCCAAATACGCAGAGCCGTCAACCATGTTTGCCTCGACGACCTGGCCGCGTCCGGTGTGCGTGCGCGAGATCAATGCCAACAGAATCCCCAAGAAGCATGTGGCACCTCCACCAGCAAAATCACCCAGGAGGTTGAGTGGTGGGTAAGGGCGTTCTCCCGACCGACCTATCATAGACAGTACCCCCGCCACAGCAATGTAGTTGATGTCGTGACCCGCCATATCCTTGTATTTGCCATCGCGACGGAAACCCGTCAAACGAGCCACAATCAATCGGGGGTTATGTTTCAGAAGCACCTCCGACGGTGACAAGCCCAGTCGCTCCAGGACGCCAGGACGATACGGATCAATCAGGACATCGGCGTCCTTGAGGACGGAGAGGAGCACTCGATGGGAGTCCGGGTCTCGGAGGTCAATGGTAGCGGACGTTTTCCTGCGAGTCAACTGGTCGGCGCTCTTAGCTTTTGGTCGGTCGATTCGCAATACGGAGGCTCCATAGTCTGCAAGTAGTAGTCCGGTGAAGGGGCCTGTGTAGACGTCATGTCAGTATGCGGAGAGACGTCTCCGAGGAAGGGGGTATGGCAGACAAACCGGGGGCTAGGCCAGCCAGCTCGACCACACGGAGTCCATCGAGAGGAGCGGGCATTTTGTATACCGAATTGAATAACTCAGATATGTACTGACAAGTATAACAGTGTTGAGACAGGTTGTAGCACTGCCAGCAGCGCGATGGTTGATACTTGGATTGCTGGGTGATCCGGACAGCGGCTTTGCTTCTCCGCAGCCGAGGTCCGGGGCACGTGCGGGGGAACTTCAAACCAGCACAGCTGGACTTTCTCCAGCATTTCCGGAAAGCTTGTGGAAGCTTGTGTAATTGATATGGATTCACACGGTGGCTTCTCGCTCAGCATAGATTCTCTTGGTATAGACATAAGACGCATGCATTTCGTGATCTTTAATGCTGTGTGTGTGGGTGAGACCTTGTTCCGTTCTTAATATCGTTGGATAATTCAACTAGATCCGATTTCTTTTCAATCACAACTTGATTGGTCTTCAAGAGGATAGTACCTATCGAACCAAGGAGATTAGTATATTCTAGCATCTACCGATGCCAGGAAGCTGAACTGTATCCTTAATGTAATAGATGAGATGCAAAGAGATATGCAGAGCAATTGTTCATCATAAGTTTACCCGAAGTATATGATCTCTAAGCTTCGCTGCGTTGCGTAGCACATGCTAACTGTTTCTTTTCTTTGAGCCTTTCTGGGATAACTGTTGAAATAGCATTTCTCTAGTACCTCGAAAGATGTTTCCAGCTCTCTACACCAGATACAATTCCATCAGATGCAACATCGGGCAACTCTGTAATCAACTCAATTGACCAAAAATAAATGCTCATAACCCAACAAATAGAACCACACTAATATGATGAAAAATCATCCAATCTACCAACTATCCTCACGACCCTCATACTTGCCCTCATCATATGCATTCTCCATATTATCACCGAACTGCTCCACAGCTCCGACCTTCTCGCCGGCCCATCCGGCCACATCCTCAGGGATTTCCTCGACATCATCAACGGCGTTGTCCCATTTGCGCTCGATGCGATCGGGGATCTCTTCAACTTCACCGACCTATTACAATCATCAATATCAGTAAAGAGCATAATAGAAAGTCACAGGTACTAAATGAACTAACCTTCTCACCCGTCCATCTAGCCGCATCCTCAGGGAAGTCCTCCACATCTTCCTTAATATCCTCCTTGTCTTCCTCCCATTTATCATCTGAACCAATCACAACATTAGCCACATCCATCCATCCATCCACACCTACCCATTGAGTACTTCGTAAGAAAAGATAGAAGGGACAAAAACTCACGAATCATCTCTCCCCCAACAACCGCCGCTCCACCAAGCAACACTCCGGCACCAACACCCAGCGCCATATTGCGTCGACTGTGGTCAGGACGCTGTTGCTGCTGTTCATTGTAGTATCCACCTTCCTGACGGGACTCGTAGCCACCACCATATCCTCCCTCCTGGCGTCCATAGCCCTCACCACCGCCGTAGCCACCACCATAACCGCCGCCGTATCCGCCCTCCTGGCGTCCATAACCCTCACCACCGCCGTAGCCACCACCATAGCCGCTGCTGCCGCCGTATCCTCCTTCTTGACGACCGTAGGATTCTTGACGGCCGTAGCCCTCACCACCGCCGTAGCCGCCACCGCCATAGGACTCCTGACGGCCGTATGACTCTTGACGGCCGTAGGACTCGCCGCCGTAACCACCACCACTGCCGTAGGATTCCTGACGGCCGTAGGATTCGCTCTGGTAGGATTGTTGCTGTTGTTGGGAAGAGGAGCCGCCGCCGCCGCCACCACCGAATTTCTTTTCGATGACTTCTTCGGCCATGTTCTTGAGGAAGTCCATTTTGGGTGGATTTTTTTCTTTCTGTGTGGGAGGAAAAGGGGAAGGTAGTAGAGTAGAGTAGGATAAAAGTAAAGTGGGATGGGTAGTATATGTTAAAGTAGTAAGTAAAGTAATCAAAAGAAGAGAAGAAACAGAAGTAGGAAAGAAAACTGGAAGGCCAACAAAACTACTTATATAGTCTTACTACTGTAATAATAAATAATCACGACCCCCAAAAATTATAGATAAAGTGGGGTCCGATCGATAGGAGATATACACACAAAGATAGATGATAGTTAGTTAATACTAGAGATAGTCTACTAAACTTACTTAATATGGCATGAATTGTGGCTGTTCACTAGGTGGGCAATTCAGGAGAATTGCCTACTTTGTACTAGTACTAGAAAAGTAAGACAAAAAGAGGGGCAGGGTCCTCTCATTGTTCTCCATCAATCTCGGCTGCTTCAATTTTAGCCAATCAGCCCAGTCCACCCATAACTACTCTCACTCACCAGGACCATTTTCACTTCCTGTTCAGGGGGGGAAGGGAAGGGAAAAGAGGGGCGGGCCAAGAAATGATTGATTGACTGGTTTGAGTATGTGACTGACTTGATCATCCCATGCTAATTTACCCCAGTGGTGGTGGTGGCTATGCTCCCGGTGATCGATTGTGGCTTGGTCACTCACTAACTCACTCACTCCGTGCATCATCAATCATGGCGGTGTTTTTGTTTTTCTGATATGCATGGATTAATTTTAGTGCGGTATGGTATTACAGTAAGTAGTATGTATTGTATTACTAGCTATGAACTGGAATACAAAACTACTCAACATCTTGCGATTAATACGCAGAGGAAACAATCCTCTTGCGCTGCTCATCATTTCCTTCATCAGCTTAGCCGCTCCGGGGGCCGAAGTTCTCCTTAGCCTATCGTTGTGCCATGCGGTGGTCGATGACCTTGGGGTGGGGGCCAGGCCATGGCCACACACACCATCTTTCTCTAGGTCAGATGGGCATCAGGCATCAATCGACCGTGTCTAGACACGGTCACAACGACTTGTCTTCCACTCAAAAAAACCAAAGAGAAAGTTTGAAACCACGGCTGAAACTCCAGGGTCTCGAGATCCATCGTACAACGCATCACTCCCCCTCCATATCACGCCTTGGCACATCCGGATCGTCCCGTCTTGGCTGATCTTGGCTGCCTGGGGCATTACTGGGATTCCTTATGTTTGATTTCTTGTGGATTCGAAAGAATGGCATTTTGTTTGTGGCAAAGTAATATACTGGTCGTAAAGAGTGCAGCTAGATCGCTGGTAGAATGAAAGTTAAATCACATGACAGAGGGTAAGGTAATAGTATCATCCTGAGATTAAGCATTACATCCCAAGCACTTGGTTCAAGTGGCTTGTGGGTTCTCATGGCGAAGGTATTTCGTAAGCTAGGAAGCACGTCGTCTAGATGGCTGCCAAGAGGAACAGCGCAAACGCTGACACTGCACCTGCACCGTGTTGCAGTTGTGACACCCGTGAAGCCGCGCCGGTGAATACGGGCGACACGCCGGCGGCCGTGCCGCTGGGAGCCACAGGCACTCGGGATCCGCTCTGGGATGGCTGGATATGGAAGGTCGATGAGGCACGGACGCTGCCGGTTCCAAGAATTACCGGCTGGCTGGTTGACGATTGGCTCGGGGCCACAATGACCGTCGCAGTCGTGGTGGGGGCTGTTGACGCGGGGGCTGTAGGGGCTGTAGGGGCACTTTGGCCGGGCGAGCTCTCTCCGGTAGACTGACTGCCGGAAGGATTGGCAGTCAAAGCATCGACACCTGTGGCAGCGCTGACGGGAACCGTGACCGTGACTGTGGTAGGTGTAGGGCCACAATCGGTACAGACACTGACCGTAGTGGTCCAGTCTTCAGGAGAGTTCGGTGCGCTGGTCGAGGACGCCAGCCCTGATGGCCGATTGGTGGCCGGCAAAGTAAGAGTGACAGTAGTCGGTGTGGGAGCGCAGTGAGTGCATACGGTCACAGTCGTCGTCCAGCCCTCAGGGACGCTGGGACTAGTGGTCTGCGCTGGAGCGCCGGGAGGGTTGGTGACGGTGGCTGTGGCAGACGCCGTTGCAGGACAGTAGGTAGTGGTATAAGTCGTGGTGATCGTGGTGAACCCTTCGGGGCAGATGTCAATGTAAGAAGTCACAATGACCGTGGTAGTGATGGTGGGCTCCGACTCCGAGCCACTGGACGTGACCGAAGGTACCACCGGGGCAGATGTGATGCTGGAAGTAATCGGAGCGAGTCCACTGCCGTTGCCAGTCGGTACACCAGTTGGAACGGTAGTTGCGCCGTCTGTTTGTCTTGAAATGCTGGCCAAGGGAGTCGAGTACGACGAGGAAAAGGTGCTGGCGTGATCAGTAGTCTTGGTGCTGTCCTGAGCACCCGAGCCATTTGCAGCGGCACCGGAGGTTGAGGTGCTGGCTGCTCCCGAGCTGCCTGAAGAAACGGAAGTTGTTTTCGCTCCAGTCTGGCCTGATGTTGAGCTAGCAGACTCGGTGCTCGATGTTATTTCACTACCAGACGAGGACGAGCTGTCAGAAGGCACCGATGAGATGGTGGTAACAACGGAGCTGGTGGAGCTTGACGCATGAGGGGCGCCGGATGGGGTCACCGATGTAATCACCGATCCCGAGGAAGTAGACTCCACGGAAGTGGCAGAAGCACGTGTTGAAGCATCTGTGCTCGACGTGTTCACAGAGCTTGACACGGTGGGACTGCCCGATCCACTTGACGAAGTAGTAACAGACACGGTTGTTGTTCCCGAAACCGATGCGATGGGCGTGCTAGAGGGAAAACCCGACAAGCTTGACCTGGTCGACACTTCAGGGACCACACTGGACGAGGAACCCACGCTGAATCCTACAGCAGAACTTGAAGAGACCGGCTCGGCAGAGCTGACAGGTGAGCTTGACAGCAACGGTGTGCTAGAAGGATGTGACAGGGTAGATGATGGAACCCCGGTCCCAGCAGAAGCGCTGGAAGAGGGCAATGACCCAGAAGAACTGGTGAAACTCGCAACAACCGTGGAGGATGGCTTGGAAATGATAGGGACACTGGATGACTTTCCTGGGGCAACAGATGAAGTTGAACGGACAGGCGTGCTTGAAGGAGTGAGGGAAATGGCTGGACTGCTTGGCACCACAGGATTGCTGGAGGTGTGAGTGCTCGAAAGAGCCGGTGAGCTGGAATGAAGCAGAGTGCTCGACCTTACAATGGAGCTCGAAGGAATGGGAGAGCTCGATGCAACGGCAGAACTGGCAGCTGAGCTTGGAATGATGGGGGTGCTTGATGCAGACGGGCTGCTTGACATGGCAGGAGTGCTCGATGCCACAGGAGAACTCGAGACAGCAGGGATGCTTGATACTGCTGGGGTGCTTGACACAACAGGAGAGCTAGATACTCCCGGAGTGCTAGACGCAACAGGAGAGCTGGATGCAATAGCAGAGCTAGAGACAACGGGAGTGCTGGATGCCACATGGGTGCTGACCGCCGGAGTACTGGAAACGATGGCAGAGCTAGATGCTACTGGCTTGCTAGACGCAATAGCAGAGCTGGACGCAATAGCAGAGCTGGACGCAATAGCAGAGCTGGACGCAATAGCAGAGCTGGACGCAATAGCAGAGCTGGACGCAATAGCAGAGCTGGACGCAATAGCAGAGCTGGACGCAATAGCAGAGCTGGACGCAATAGCAGAGCTGGACGCAATAGCAGAGCTGGACGCAATAGCAGAGCTGGACGCAATAGCAGAGCTGGACGCAATAGTGGATCCAGATGCAGTAGGAGAGCTAGAGACAGCGGGGGCACTGGATGCCACAGGGGTGCTGGAAAGGATAGCAGAGCTAGATGCTGTCGGTTTGCTTGACACAATAGGAGAGCTGGAAGCGACAACAGAGCTGGAAGCGACAACAGAGCTGGAAGCGACAACAGAGCTGGAAGCGACAACAGAGCTGGAAGCGACAACAGAGCTGGAAGCGACAACAGAGCTGGAAGCGACAACAGAGCTGGAAGCGACAACAGAGCTGGAGGCGACAACAGAGCTGGAGGCCCCAGGAGTGTTAGATGTAACAGCAGAGCTGGAGGGAACAGCAGGGCTAGAGGCAACCGGGGAGCTAGGGACAATCAGGGAGCTGGAAGCACCAGCGGCACTGGTGGTCACGGGCGCGCTGCTTGCCACAGGAGTGCTGGAGGCAATAGCAGTGCTGGACGGAATTGAAGAGCTAGACGCCACAGGGCTTGATGCGATAGGGCTACTTGACGCAGAGACGCTGCTTGACACCACAAGAGTACTGGAAGACTCGGTTGTACTCGAAACCGTGGGAGTGGAAACAGCAGAGCTTGACGGAACTGGACTGCTTGACGAAGTCGAGGTGGATGAAGCAGGAGCGCTTGACGCAACAGGGGTACTCGACGCCGCAGGTGTGCTTGAAGCGATAGCACTGCTAGACGAAGGGCTGGGAACCGGTGGCGAAGGATCAACTGCAACCAGGATGTCTTTCATTAAGTCGGCAAATGTGAGCCCATTGAACGTATTCTCATCCGAAGCCGTTGCTTCCCAAAGCATGATACCTCCAAACGTGTCCGGGTAGAGGTTCATATACACATTCACCAGAGGGTAGACTTCCTCCGGGGTCAGATAGTATCCAGTTCCTGCTGCAGCGGGACCGGCAGGCAATCCCACATAGAGCTTTGCGTCCGGGTTGGCTCCACGCTTGATGACATCCACCCAGCCGTCAAAGTTGAAGCCGGTGCTGACACCATTGATAGAGTCACTAGCGGCACAGCCAGCAGTGTTATAGAATTGCACCCAAACGAAGTCAAAGGGGGATTGGGCAATCGCATCACTGAGTTGAGGGTCGGGTATCGGGCATTGGGGGGCACCAGAGATGTAAAAGGTACGTTCCGGGACCAAAGCGAAGAGCTCTCTGAACCGATTGACCATAGTCGCATATCCTGCTCACGATTAGCGGTGGTGCATATTTACCAACACGAGTTCACGGACAGAAAGGCATACCAAAACCGCCGTTGTGCTCAATGTCGAAATCGAAACCATCGACAACAACATCACCAAAAGGACGAGGGCCATCATTCGACACCCATTCCTCCGTCTGCGGACCGAAGGCACCCCAGAGGAAATCGGCGAATTGAACAGCAGAGGCATCTGACAGAATCTGCTGGTTATCCGGGGAGGCACCACCCAGGGACAGGAAAACCTTCTTTCCTGCTTCCTGGCAGATGGGAATATCTTCTGCAATTTGGTGACAACCAGAAAGAAGCTCCGTTGAGACGCCGTCAACTTCATATGTTAGGCCATCACACTGATTGCCGAAGTTACTACCCGGCCACCCGGCAGGTCCCTGGTCCGGGAAAGTATTGATGAAGCCAAGGTTGATGATATCCAACGAAGTTTCCTGGCAGAAGTGGCTCAATCTTTGTTGACCATATCCTTGACCCTGTAGACAGATAAGTACAAGTCAGTATGGTTAGGTGGGCGCTCGAGTGGTCGGAACATACGTAGTAGACGGCAACGTTGGACTTTGCCTGGGCATCGAAAGCAGACACATAAGGAGTGAGACCGGCTACCGCCGCAGCGATGGTGAGAGGCTTAAACACCATGTCGAAGGAGTGGCAACTGGCAGGCGTAAGGAAGCCGCAAGCCAGTAAGGAGACCTTGGTGGTTCAACGAAAGGACGCAGACAAATGTCTGCTACTAAGGAGTGTCTCCGCGAGCGAACGTCGAAAAATGAGGCACTGATAAGAGAACCAGTGGGCAAGGAGGGTATATAACATGATGGGAGACAGGCGTTTTGGGGGGTCAGCGAATCCCATTGCATCTTCCTAGTCATTAGCTCCAATATCCCAAGTACAAAGTTCATCCAACGAGCACAACCGAAATTATCATGCGGATGATATGGCTTGGCAAGTGCAACCGGACAATCAAGCGATGGAGAAAGAATTCCATTCTTGTGCTAGCAGCAGGGAATATTGAAGCTAACGAGGCGCTTGATACGGGAGCACCAGGGGTCACCGGCCAGAAGAGGGCGTGACTGGATCCGGAGGATGGAAGATAAGAGGGCCGACATTACGCTCAAGGCAACAGCAGGCATCCGAGCACCCTGATTGAGTAAATGCCTGGTGTAGAGCCGCATCAGGGTCCGACTATTGTGGTTAGTCTCGGTAGAAATGGACAACAAGAGAGCAAATGCGATATACACTACTCACAACGTTTAGGCTCTGGCGGTGCTTGAATTTTAGCCTAAGTGGAGAAAGAGAAAGTAGTGCTTCATAGTCGAATGTAGCCTCGATAAAAGGTGGATATCAAATGAGCAGAAATCAATTTTCTGGACGGATAGAGGCCGGAAGATGAGAGATGGATGGAGATAGCGAGGTGGGAATGGATGGCTTCCATGGACCTGGAGGCCTGCCTGGAGGAAAGCTAGTCTAGTCCTGGACCCTGCGGTGGGCGTGATCCTGGTATTGCGGTGACAATACCGTGTCCGTGTTATGCTTTATTCCCAGTTAGGGTTAGTGTCCATGTGGAAGTAGCTTGATTGGGACTAGCTAGGGGTCTCTGGTGGAACGCTGGTGGTCAGGAACACCAATCAAAGAGCCGGGATATAGAGCTTGACAGGCCACTGGTCAGGCTGGGAAACGTCCGGGCTAAACTTTGGGCTCCAATGTCTTACCTTCGCCTCTCGCCTTCTGATTGTTGTGATGGCGAGAAATGAAAAGTCAAATCATTAGACCGGACCCACGGAACGGCTCTTCTCCGTTGCTTAAGGGTCTCGGAGTTGACCGGATCATCCGATCGACAATCAGGAACTATTACTGTACAGAGTTGTGCAACTGCCAGTCGCTTGTTTTATGTTATGGGCGGATGTTCAATTCAGAAGCAGGAATAGTTGAGCCCGAATGAAAAATGAGAAATCTGACATGACAATATTCTGAAGGAACGCCACCGACGAATATCCTCCTTAGCCGACAGTCCATTGGTCTTTTTTCTCCTGGTCCAAATAATCACACCTTGACTAGATACTTTCTTAGTCGACCCATCCACCAGCCAGATACCCCACTAGGCCTCAAGCGGACTTCGACCGACCACGGACCTTCCTGGCTACATGGACCAGTGTACCTGTTCGTACAGAGGGGAACCACTGGGGGTAAGGGATTGGTGATTAGTAGCTTCCACTATAACCAGGCGTTAAGCGACGTCGGAGTCATGCATCGGAAAACCGGAAATTGCACCTTTGATACTGCTCCTCTGAAGGGATTAGCGTGCTGCAATCTGGTGAGGAGTGGAAATGAACGGTCACAGAGCCTTATGGCCAGTCCCAGCAATTCCCCGTTGTCTCTCAAAATCCATTGGTCGGTGGATACCACACCTATAAGGCACATAGGCACAGAGTACGGTCTGAGGCATTTATCCGTACCAAAAGTCTCACAGGGCTGGGATTGCTACTTTCATTCCGTTTGTGTCTCTCCACGTCTATGATCTCATTCTCTCAGAGAGGCTCGTTTGTACGACAGGTCAAGCATATGATGTTTTACTGGCTGGGACTATAGTCGCGTACTACGCCGGGGAACAGTATGAAACCCCCGAGGATGACAAAACTAAAAGCTTGCAGGAACCTTTGTGCAATGGCATCGGCCTAGCTTGGCCAGAGACACGGTGGCCTGCCATAAGAATCCGTGTTTCACCGACAATTAACTCCTGCTGGGGAAGACGTGAAAGCCATATATGAACTAGCTACGGTTAGAGGCTGCGAGAACCTGCATGCTGACAGAGGAGAACCAAGTACACAGAAGAAGGAACAGGTACACAACTACAATGCTGAAGCTAGGATGGCAATCTACCCAAGAAGGGGTTGACGATCCATGTCTGCAGGGTAGCTAGGTTACACCTGCAGCAAAGGGTGCCACGTTACACGCCATCAGCTGCATGTGTCGCAAAGGGACAGCGTGGGACAGAGACCGCAGTATATTTCCGTGAGCTTTGGTTCATGATCCGATACGCATTCCAATGGACCTGGTCGAGGATAGCTCACTGCGCTATACTTACCCTAAGATATAGTGGCTACTAGTACGTTCCTGCCACCCTCCTTATGAAATGGCCAAGAGTTCGACATGTGGACAGTCATAGCATATGAGCATACTGATTAGTTCTATTTCAGGGTACCCCTGTTGCTTCTCCCTAAGACTTCGTCCAAAATACCTCCGTCAGTAGATCGCACATCAAAGTAATAGACCGTTTCCCCTCCTTCAACACAGCGTCCATAGCCAAGAATGGATGAGGCATGCCCTTCATAACCTGCAAATCCACCTGAACGCCAGCCTGCTTCAACTTTTCGGAATACTGTTCTCCCTCCGTTCGCAGCACATCCAGCTCACCCACCATGACTAAAGCCCGAGGCAGGGCAGACCAATCGCCCGTCCAGAACAAGGGGCTCGCCTCAGGGTTGTCCCAATCCTTTTGATTCGGCAGATAGTGGTTCCGATACCAGAGCATCTTTGCTGCGGGAAGGGCCGGTGTATGCTCGTACTCCTTATAGGCACGGTTCGTTTCCACGCTGGCCGTGTTATCCGTCACCGGTACGGAGAGCAGCTGTGCCTTGAAGTGAACAGGGGGCGACAGTGTCAGGGCTTTCTGGGTGATAATGCAAGCCAGGTTTCCACCCGCTGATGATCCACCGGTCGCGATCTTGCTGATATCGATGGGAAGCTGAGAGGGTCCTTGGGAAGTCAACCAGAGGAGAGCCTCCCAGCAGTCATGGACGGCAGCGGGCCAGGGATGTTCAGGTGCGAGACTTTTGAAGAATGTTTTATTAGTCTTTTCATTCTGCTCAATCGCACACATATACTCTCGGGATAATGCTTACCGGTAATCCACCGTCACCACGACACAGCGACCCCTCACACAGAGATTCGAGCAGACCGGATTCTCCGTGTCAATATTCCCCAGTACCCATCCACCGCCATGGAAATACAGCATGACCGGCCATCCGGATGCCGGGGCAGCGCCTTCTGGCACAAACACACGCACAGGAACTTCTGGGCCCTGTGTGACGCGACGTGGAAGACGAAGGTCAATGGTCTGCCCAACAGGCAGAACAGGACCCCCGCCTGGGATCAGGACACCGCTCGATCGCGAGGCCGCAACAGGCTGCAGATGGACCTGCTGCTGTTTCATCACATACTGGTTGTAGAATGCGACATATTCGGGATCGAGTTTGTCCTGCACGGAAGGGTGGAGGGGGTATGGAGGTTGAGGATTGGTAAGGGACATGATGGAAGTGGTAAGTCACTGATCGATTGATTTCGCTCTTTACGGATTGAAGGTGTCTGTTGTGTTCGAAGAAGGAAAGAAAAGGAATTGGTAACTCTATCCTATCTATCTGACTATCAATGCCAGCCTCCGTGTTGTATTCCTCGGTTACATCGCGGTCAGTGTCCGAGCGCAAGGGATCAACGAGGGGATACATTCCGGCTCGACTTTCCTGTTTGTGTTCCTTTCCCCTCACGGCTGGTTGATGATCCTGATAACGAGGAGGAACTTCCTTAGTAACCCGCGATAAGAGAGACCCTTGTCCCCTCACCTTTCCCCACCCCCACCACTCAAACCACTTGACAGCTTCAGTGGTAGCGAGGCGAGCAGAAAGGCAGGCGATGACTTTTTCGTAATCGTACCTGTATCGAAACTGGGAGTTACTTACCCGTGTAAGAGGGGGTTTGTAGTAGTAATGACTCATAGATGCTGTCTAGTTAAGTGTTGTTAGTTTGTATGATATATATAACCTACCAGCACCAGGAGAATCCATCCTACTACCTCCTTCAAGCACAATCAATAAGGCCGAACAACTTCATCAACCCCAACATCAATCATTTGAACAAAAAACAAGATAATCACACCAAAATGGCCACCAAAACCCCCATCACAACTGACAAAGCCCCCAAGGCCCTCCCCGGCATCTATTCCCAAGCCATTGTCTCCAACGGCGTCGTCTACTGCTCTGGCTCGGTGGCTATGGACGCAGAAACGGGCAAGATCATTGATGGCGATATCAAAGCGCACACGGTACATACATAATTATCATCCATTATTCCCTTCCTCACACCGAATAATTCTACAACATCTGCTAATGTATTGAATCACTGGGGAAAATAGCACCAATGCATCAAAAACCTCGGAAACGTTCTTGAAGCCGCCGGTAGCGATCTCACCAAGGTCCTGAAGGTTACTGTATTCTTGTCGAATATGGATGACTTTGCCGAGATGAACTCTGTCTATGTGCAGTACTGGGGGGATGTTAAGCCTTGTCGGACGTGAGTTCATTTCTTTTCTTATTTTTCCCTTGCTCTGTTTCTGTGTGGGTTTTATGAATGTGGGGGGAGGGTTTGGCATTGGGATGTAAGAGTTATGGTTGACTAATGTTGATTGGATGGGTAGATGCGTGGCGGTTAAGACTTTGCCCCTGAATACGGATATCGAGATTGAGTGTATTGCTCATCAGTAGAGGATATATATATTTATATCAGGTGATGAAAGTGCCTGGTGGGGAAAACAGAAATCGTACCAGCATCATTGTTTTCAAATCGGCGCTTGTTGACCGAAATTCTTCAAACATATATTATGTATATATAAAATTCACAGAAAACGGATGCGAGGAATGCGATGCTGCTAAGGAAGCATCTTGAAATCAATGTGAGCAAACTCAATCCCACAAAGGTATAAGACGATCAGAGACTATAGTCTAAAGTAACCAAGGAGAAAATTACTGCTCAATAGTCTCCGAAATACTTCTGACGAGTTCGTTCCATTGCTAGTTCGTCCGGCATAGGGGCAATGAACTTATCGATTTCATTGATCCAAAACGAGTTTTGAGGATTGACTTGGCAAGCTGTAGTATATTCCCAATAAGACGGATACCAGCCCGCAGTCTCCCAGTCAACAATCCCAACAATAGTATCCTCGCGGGCCAGAATATTGAGACTACTGAGATCACCATGTGTGAATGCGATAGGAAAAGATCTATCGTGTTGTCTGATCAACTCTTGTACTTCTGGATCAAGTCTCGAATCGAGGTCCATCCCACCTCGCAAATGTCGATGGAATTCTTGGACACTGGGAAAGGGCCCAAAACGTAGGGAAGTGCCCGGCACACGACAATCGTAGAGTGACCCGTCCACAACAGAGCCCACACCCATACCTGCTGGGGGTGGGAGTTTTCGCATCTCCTCGACTATACTCTTTAACTGAGTAAGAAGCTTCGCCTTAGACTCCTCACTTCGATAAACCCATCCGGTACCAATGTAGTTCCCTTTGATTCTTTCCATCACTATGTAGGTGCAACGCTGGTGTATAAAGGCGCAGAGAACTTTGGGAACAGGTATAGATGTGTTTTGTGAGATAAAAAGCATAGTAACTGCCTCTGTCAAGTCTACGAGTTTTCCGTATTTGACACAGATCCGATCTGTTAACATCAGAACGCTTCCTTCAAAGGGGCGTATCTTTCGGAGAGTTGCAATCGCAAAAAGGATGAGATGCTTGTACAAGGCGCTGTCGTTGATTGGACCCAGATTTGGGGCATAGGACATTCTGAGTATGCGAATAGGGTAAAAACCCCGTCTAGCTGATTAAATGGTCACTGTCTGGGTTCGCCTGTGGTTTAGTGATGGATTGATTTCCTTGAAGATGCGGAAAGGGAATTGGAAAGCATTGAACACGTGATGGCCATGGCTGGGTTACTAGTAGTAGCTATACTAGTAGATTGTGGTCAACATCTACATCGACAACGCAATCATGGGTCACTGTAAATGCTACAAATGTTAGGTCCGGAAGAACAATATGCCTAGAAATTACAAGCAATTGAACTACCTACCCAGTAAACATAGGTATCGGAATAGTGAGAGTCCCCAAGAATGCTGCAGCCTACTCCCAGAAGATAGCACCCTATACCATCACTACTTTGACGAAAAAACGCGTATAGGAGTCTCAACAAACACGAACTCAAAGAGTAAAAAAATAAACACAAACATTAACCTTCCCGCGCGCGCCGTCCGTCCGCCCGAACCATCATCGAGTTTTAGGCTTGATCAAAATGAACAATGCGGTGGGACTGATAGAACCCGGAATGTGTTTTGGGCAAGTTGTGATCACGCCTTCAGCTCCCACAAGAGAGGACTTGGCATGTGGGAGAATGCCAGTGGATCCCTCTTTTGGATGAGCATCACCTTGATAGTATGCACTGATTATGGCACTTGCATACTACTAGCCCAGCAATTCGTTATCTTTTGGTATTCTGTTGTTTTGCTATAAATAAATATATCATATGGAGGACTCTGTATAGGCAGCCACAAATTCCATATGTGCTTAGCGATACCTCGTATGTGGTAGCATGTTTTGTCAACAAATAAAGTACTCGAATTGTAGATTGGGGCTGCACGAGTCGGACAGATGTATTAGGAAGCTTGTTGAAGAGATGGAATGACGGATGGGATCAGGGATATAGATCATGATGGCAGGATATTGTCGACGGTATGAATGGTTGGTGTGAGCTAATGAGTATAGTATATATATATTGCCTCTTCATATATAAGTATGACTTCAATGTTGCACGCGATTCATAGCCTGACATTTCCGCATTTGATCAGAACATTCTAATGACTTCCGAGACACTGAATATTCTAAACTCTGGCCTGTCCGTTCCATGAATACTATAGAGAATATGTGATGAGGGCGCACATCACAGCATATATATATGGTATGACACTCTACACGAAGCAGTGGGGATAAGGACGAGCACTCTCACACATGGAAAATATGCTATAGATAGATTATAGCCCTTAGAGCCCAGCGATAAAATTAGTCAACGGGAACATGTTCAGACCATTCGCCGAGAGCATGGTGCTAGATTGCCGAATGGTAAGAGTGGATAGCGCCAGGTGAGATTCAGCTCCACCACTTCTGTTATTGATGAACATCATATCTCAAAATTAAACACCTACCGGGTGCTCTGCATTCAATCTGAGTAATGTAAATAGCACTACAGGACATGGCCAATTGGTAGATCAGTTTCGGAGACCTCAATGCATGGATCTTCTAGGGTTTATAAAGGCAGGCGATGACGCCATAGCGCAAATGAGCCACCTGTGCACACCACCCTGCTGGCCCAAATCATTTAGAACAATAGGGAACAAATTTTACTGGTATGAAGTGACTCAGGGAGTAGAGAAATCGGTTCCTGTTCCCAGCCCTTCATGCTTCTGTTTGTCGGTGTTACTTGGTTGCTCTTATGAATAAACTTGTAGTAGGGTCTTTCCTTGCAGAAACCTCACCAGAGGGGAAACGAGGCAGAATAAGTAGGATGACTCGAGGGACAAAAGGGAAGAGAGGAGAAAAGGCGAGGGAGTTGGAGCGAGTGACTCCCTGTGAGTCTGCTGCCCATCACGTGTCCCATCCCTTTCATCGCCTTACAACCACATCACGACGATGGAGTCCCCTTCGGCTCTCCGCTCATCCCTAGCCTTATCTGCAGCCCTGGATTCTGCATCGCATCCTGCATTCTATACTTGACCGCTCTGTCTCACTACCTGCGTCCGCTTTAGCTTTGACAACCCGCGTTTACCACGCGATGATGACGCTGGGATTCAATCGCGGTTTTCTCAAGGAGAAAATTCGCATTATTACTCAGACACAGGGCTACCACTCGATCCCCTGATGGAACATAATTTGCAATTGAATCCCAAGGATGTGCATGATAACTACCTCCGATGACTAACACTCAACAGGAGAATAGGGGCAAACTATGGTAGTCGCGCGATGGTCCAATGGCCGCGGATGCCAGTTAGTCTGCATTCCTCAAGGACAGCTCTCCCATATCAGGCAGTGACAACAAACACCACAGGCCATATTCCTACCAATTCCCTATTCTGCTAGTGGGCATGCCTCGGAACCTCGCCCATTCCAACCCCTCGGGCCTCCGCGTTCACGCGCGAGGCCATTCATTCAGCATATACATCCTTTTAGTCGGCCATCGCCCATTGTTTTGCTTCTCTTCCATTGTTTCCCCGTCGCGTTTACCACCCACATGTTTTTTATGGGCTGCACCTACCTAGCCTTTCCGACACATCGATTCTTATCATCACTAACTTCTCAGACCACTGGATGCTTGGCGAATCTTGTTTCCCAAAGCCGTAGCGCAGCTGGTACCAGCTACTCTCGACGCGGTCCATCATGTTCAACCGTTCGATAGCCTCCCCCAAAGGAGGCGTTTGGACCAAGGTAGTGATATTCATCTCGTTATATGTCATGCTCTTCGACTCCTTCATTGAATGGGCCATCGTGCTTTACCTGTATGGGATCCGCCGTGTGGACTCAAAGATGACCCCGAGCTTGATACTGGCTCTTGTCGCGGTAAGTCTCTGCCTTGACCTGGACGGCTGATAAAGATGCTGACGGATACTAGTCATTCTTCACCGTTCCTCTTGTCGCTCTTCACAGCCTCCTTGCCTGGCAATACAACAAGGTTGTAGGATTCGCGAGCCAGAAAGCTTTGCTGAATGCCGCTTGTACCTACATCCTGCGACTGACGATACTTATTTGGATCGCTGCCAGCGCAGCAGGACTAGTGCTGGTTTCGCAGCAGGTGTACTGCCTAGCGGATGATGGTGGTGGTGACTTCTGGAAGATCGGTATCAGCTGCGCGCTTCAACGGGCTTCTGTTATTGTTTCCATCATATCATTGTATGTCTGCTGGCCCAAAATTTGGACGTGCTTACTGACTCGCAGCAGCGTGACTGTGTGTCTTTTCTTCTGCTCAAGGGAACTCTGCGAGCGTCCGTACGATATCTCTCTTCTCGGTGTATACAAGCCACAACTATCGACCTGCGATGACAAAATGTCTGCCAGCTCAACAATGGGAAGCCATGTCAGTCTGGAAAATGACATCTATCACGTTTGCCGTCGACCTGATGTGACATTTGGGCGAGACTTGTACCTGTCATCTAGCAGCAACTCCATATGTAAAGCTGGTAGTATTGATCATCCTGCCTCCATACATGAGAAACCCCAGTTGAAGCTCGACACAAAATGTGAATCAGAGGGCTCAGGCATATACTCTGGAACTACACTCTCTGTCGATGGCACGCCATCCAAAAATTCCTCCAGGGATGGAACAAACTCCGATGTCAGTTCAAATGCCTCGGTTACACCTCCCAAAGCCACGTTAAGGGCTCCTTATGACCCTTATCGTCAGGCTGTACTGGCAGAACTCCCGGGATCCCCACATTTCAGACATAAAAGGCACCAACCCTCTGGATCCCCTTTCCGACTCCTTCCCAAGGTTTTCGCAAGTCAGATCTCGTTGTCATCGGACCCTGAAATCCTTGCCCTCGCTGGTCCCGATGCTGTTGCGGACGTTGAGCAACCAGCAGAGGAGCACTCAACAGACAACATCGGACCACCGCCGACTCCCAAAAGGGAATATGCTCCTGGACACCCACTGGCATCTTCCCCTGTGGAACTTCCATTCCCCTCCTCTCCTCCTGTGGAGAGGTCTATATTTTCCATGACGACCAGTAACCCTGAGCTTAAGACTAGTCGATCTGAAGGAAGCACGCTTCCACGATCAATATCAAGCAGCTCCGCCGACGCCCCCGAAGTTGTCGCACCAGAGCCACTCAGGGTTCA